TCCCAAGCCTTGCTCCTATTGTGTCTCTGCCTCCTTAGGTCAAATCTATGTCAAAAATATGTCAAATTTCTTTTCTTGGCCGGCTTCCTTGGTTTAATATAGGGTTTAGGCTTAAAATCCCGTGTTTTGCACTTTGGTCCCTGAAATTTACGCCTCCTGCCGCGGTTCCACCGCGGTTACGCCGGAACCGCGGCCAAACACTCTCTCAGATTCTTCATTTGTCCGCGACTGCCTTCTGCCGCGGTCCTACCGTAACCGCGGTTTTTCACCCTGTTCCGTTTGGAATTTGGAAAAACGTAACACATAGAAGTTGTAGCCCTTTGAGTTATCTTTCCAACCATATATTATAGAGACCAAATGGAGTTTTGAGCAAAAAGTTATGTCTATTTTACTAGACAGTGCGCAATATGCCTCTTCGAGTTTTCGTTTTGTTGTTTTATCATCCGTTGATTCCCGAACGCGATCCCGGCTTAGTTCCTTGAGCTCTTACTTAGACTTCAAAGCTCCAAACCACTTTAATTCATTCCATAACATTTATATAGCTCAGAATCACTCCTACAAGGCATAAAACACACCGTTAGTACAAAACACTAGCGATTAAAGCGCAAACTCAACTAAAGTGCAGTAAATTAGAGTGTAATAATCGACTAAAATACATAATTATAGCCTATCATCAGAATTCTTTTACAGTATTGCAAACTCGATATTCCGCATATTTTACTGACACCAAGAGTGAATTCAACAAAGTGATACTATCATTTATGCACAAAAGTCAAGACAATGCTAGAGCAGAAAGGATTCACCAGAAGCTTTAACCAGAAAAAACGAAATGGACATACATTTCGTATTTCCTTTTTAAAGAAAGGTAACAGTATACATTACCTCTTTCTTTTTTTCTTTTTCCTTAGTTTTTATCTTTTCCCTTTTGTGAGGTTCAGGAGATGGCTAGAAGAAAGAGTCCACTTAGAGTTCACAAGTGTCTGGATTAAGCCGTATGAAAAAGGGGATCAATGCCATTGGAAGATGCATTTTTTGTTAATAGCATCATATGTAGAGCTGGAGTAATTAAATTTGAACTATCTAGATTATCTGCTCCAATGCTACACTTCAGTAAAAATCTGGACATGCTATCATCAATTTTTGATTTACCATGAACTTTCTGTTCCTCCACAATTTGACATATCTGATACTCTCTCCAAATGATCGAACAGTGGTATGCGACGCAGGAGCTTATCACCTAATGACGCAGCAGCTTATCACATGCTAATGTAGCAGCTTATGATATGATGATTCAGCAGCTTGTCAAATGTTATTTTATGTTTATCATCCTTATTATTTAGCTACTGTTCTTATACTTTACTCCTTGTGTTTCAGTCAGTCGTGTAAACCTATTTCTTTTTTAATCCGTTCCAAATTAAACTAGCTCTACCTAAATTTTTGAAACAGATTAACCTAAACTTCTCATTTTACCTTTACTGAGAAATTTAACACTACATGCTTAAGACCACAAGTTTCAAAATATACACATAAATGTTATAGCTTGTTTAGCACAACAAATTTCAAAAGTCTTTACTCCCTCCTTTTCATATTAGATGAGATACTTTCTTTTTTAGTCTGTTCCAAAACAAATGACACATTTCTAAATTTGGAAATAATTCAACTTTAAATTCTTTCATTTTACTCATTTACCCTTAATGAGTTGCTTTTATAGCCACACAAATGTTATGGCCCCACAAACCTTTTACCCCTTAAGCTTTTAAGACCACACATTTTAAAAGTCTTCTTCTTTTTTCTTAAACTCCGTGCCGAGTTAAACTACCTCAAACGGAGGGAGTATTTCTTTCTTAAACTATGTGTCGTGTCAAATTGTTTCTCATAAATTGAAACAGAGGGAGTAAGTGTTAAGCTCTTGCGTCATTAACCAAAATTCAATATCCTACTTAGACGAAGGAGTTAATTGAGTTTTACACAGATATTTAGATACCTACAAGATCTTTAAAGTAAAAATGTTTTGGGAGAAGTCAAAATTTCATTCTAAATACCATTAATGAATATTATGCAAGTATTGATGCAGCTACCTGGAACTGGAACGAGCTCTGCTACACCAGGCGAAGTACTTAACATGGATCTGAGCACAAAGGTCATCCAACAAAATTATAAAAATAACAAAAGCAAGGTCGTCAGAAGCTAAAGGTTAGTACGGAACACTGTAAAATTATTCACCTTGAAGAGAAGAAGACTAAAGCATGATAAGCAAATTAGATAATGTGACAGAGAAATAGTCTCACTGATGAATAAACCTTTAAGTTGTAACGGCTTCACTTTGCAGTGAAGAAACAATTGCTAAGATATGCAGAAATAACTAGAAAAATTCAACACCCATTACGAAATGTTTAACCAAATTAAATATGATTCTTTCCTGTTCAACAAGTAACTACATTTGTATAGACTAGTAGTAAAAAGGGTGTTTTTCTCCTTTACGATATGAAGAAAGAAATAGGGGTCGAAGTTTAGACTGCTCACACCACATTGAGGTAAAAAAGATATTTCCTCCAAAATTTATGATCTGCACCTCGGCTTCAGAAAACTAATCACGTAAAGCAAACTTTCTCAACATTGCTGATGTCATCTCTTCGCAAAAGAAGCACCGAAGGAAGCCAGAACTGCTTCATCTCCATTTCCATCATCAGAGTTGAATGCGTTTAGCTCCTAAAAAAGTAGTCTTCCTATTCTAAAGTCCATTCCATTTAGCCCACAACTACAAATTTAGCTTCAATCTTCCACGCCTAGATTCATTAGTCCTGAAATGTTCAAAACATTGTATTCATAAAAAATATTTGTGTACTTTGACCAATTTTGTAATATGTGAAATGAACAAATTTTAAAATTTACCTGAAGCTAGTTGCAGAACACATCTGACAGCATGGCTCAGATTCAGAGGATAATATTCATACCAAATGCAAAAGCTTTATACATCCAGTTGAGTTTGCCGCAACTACCATATTAGATTTTCTTCTCCAGCAAACACTTGAAACAAATTGCCCATTACTCTCACCTTCATTGCCAGAGCTAGGATCAACAGATCCAAATTTATACGAAGAAATTGGCATCGGTAGAGATCTATGATAAGCATATACCTGCACAAAAATTTAGATTAAAGAAAGAACTGATGCTTCCGCTGGAAATCAACAACCTTTAGCTGTTGGGAATGGTAAGGAACAACAGTAGTTGAGTGGTCTAAATCAAAACCACATATCCTTAATAAAAATGATGAGATATGATGTTACCTCATTAGATTCGGAACCACATGCAATGTATCCATCCAAAACTGATAACCCGACAAAATTCTGTACAAAGCAAAGGGAACATTATTGAAATTGAACTTATTGCATTCAGATGTTCATTATAAAGAAAATATCCTCGGTATACCTTCTCATTGGTGTGACCCTTGAAAGTCAAGCTGCAAGCATTTGACGACAGTCCTTCCGAACTTGTTGTCTTAAGGTCCCATAGCTTTAATGTGTTATCTGTGGATGCAGAAGCCATGGTACCATAATCTACAAATTTTACATAGCTAACAGCCTTCTCATGTCCTGATAAAGTGCACCATGGAATCCTAGTATGGCGAAGATCATAGCAGTAGATTTTGTAGTCAGCAGATCCAAAAGCCAACAGATGAGAGGAGTAAGCGGAGAACTGCACACAGCATATGTTGGCAGGATTCCAGATTGTATCCACAGAACTCCTCTGCCGATAAAAATGACTTAAATTCCTTGTTTGTTTCCGTAGATTAAATCTCAATGAAGACACCAATTTCATTAAAAGTTAGTAAGCTAGGATCAGGTAAAGTACCTTACCTCATTAATATTCCACACTTTTACGGAACAATCATCACTTCCAGTGGCAAACTTTGTGGGATCTACTTGACAAAAATCGACCGACCAAGCCCTCTTCTGGTGCTCTACATATTGTGAAAATCCTTGACCTGTGCTTGGATCCCACATCTAGATTCAAAATAGACACACCGAATTACGGAGTGACAGAACAAGTTGTAATTAAGTTAACAAAATGAAGCATGTTTTGGGTAGTTGATGTACCTTTTCAATTATAAATTAATGCACTTAATAGCGAGGAGACATATTCTCTTACATTGCCAAGAAAAAGTCATGCCAGAAAGAATACTTTTCGAGTATTTATAGGCTAGTCAGATAAAGGGGTAAGAATTAAAAATATTGTCAAAATCTCTTTAACAATTTCAGTAAAAAAGGTACACACCTTGACCATGCCATCATAATCTGTTGAAGCGAGATAGTTTTTCATATAACTATTCCAGGAAAGACAGCTAAGCTTAGATTTGTTTGACATCTCAACCACAGGATATTGAAGATCGACAGAGTCATTCAAAAGTGAAGCAAATTCAAAGATTTTGATTTTCTTTGAAACACCAGCTGCAGCTATATAGTCCTCTTGATGATCAAAACAAAGGGAGCAGATCACATTTATAGAGTTGAGAAGATCGCCATTTCTTAATGTCCCGTATTCCTCAAACTTGCTGTAGCGAGCATATTTACAAACACCTTCAAAGAAGGCTCCAACACGATTGACAGATTTAAGAGTTGGCTCCACAATTTTTGTTGAAACCTGGGACAACCTGTCACGACATGTCAACAAATCCTTGTCTGGTCGACCTATCGTATCATTTTCCGCAAGCTGGATTTGGGATCTCATGCAGAAGTAAGCACTTTCAAGCTGAGAAAAATTTTTAATCAGCTTTTCATTGGTCATGTTTTTCATAGAAAGACGGTCATTAGACTTGAGATGTTTAAAGTAGGATCCCTGCCGCGTATTATGGAAGTCTGTGTCCACCAAATTTGAAGTTCTAAAGCCATCTTTTTTCTCGACCTCCTTGATATCAGCTTCTAAGCACTCTATTCTTTGTAATAACTTGGAGGTATTATTCTGATTTTCCTCCTGCAGTGCAATTAGGAAATAGAGCAAGATGTCTGAATCAGGGTCATCATCCTTCTCAATAATTGATGGCACACCATCTATTTTACAGATTTCTTCAGTTCCATAAATTAATTCAGACTGCAGGATTTCCCTGCAAAGATGATAAGTAGAATTGTGAATGTGATCACAAGTAAAACAATTTTACTCGAGGAAATTCACAAAATTGGGGTGCCTGAGATTTCTACCAGTTAGAGAAGTTAAAACTGAATAGGATAAAGCTACAAGGTTACCAGCACAAAAGCAGACATATCTATCAGATCAGACCGATAAACGGCAGGTTAGAAGACAACTAACTAGCAAAGAACAAATAACACTTTAAAAAAAAGTCTTTTCCCTCAATCCTACAGAGTGGCAAATATTTTGCTATTTATTTTCCACCATCACAGAAACTCAACTCTTTTTCGTCTGAAAGCCATCCTACTTAGATTACTTTTTATATAGTTTCTAAATATGTATATTTTATATCAAAATTTTTGAAAATTCTATGTCTAAATTCACACAGAAAATTGGTCAATTTGACCCTCTGTACTCCAAAAAGGTTCACATAACCTGGAACGAGGGGAGTATATAATATAAAAGAACAAAAGAAGAGGCTAAGATGCCTCAAGCCCTAAAGAGCTCCTCTTTTCTGATTATACAAAACATTAGTCTTGAACACCATACAAGCTTCTCACCCGAAAGGAAAAAGGAGCATAATAGATAATATAACAAACTACAGGGAATCTATGATTGGCAAATGTGGAAAATGCTACGAGTTTACTCAGCACATCACAATGTTATCAAAATAACCAAAATCTAGGGTACTTCAACAATGAATCGTTTAAGCAAAGTCCATGTAGCAGAAAATTATACTGCACATGGAATTAGGAAACATAATAATACCTTGCTGTAGGACGAGAAGAAGGTTCAGGATGAAGCAGCAAGAAGCAAAAGCCAACTTCCTTGGGATTCTGAGAAAGGAAATTTGGTGGGAGAATTCGACTATGCAAATTCAACATTGCTGCAGAATGTGCCGCTGGTGATTCGAAACAGCAGAGCAACTAATAGAAACAACAGGCATTAGTAAGAGGAAAGATAATTTATCTTAACCCTTCGGCAAAGCACATTGTGAAACAAAACATTCCTTGTACCCACCGTCAATTTAAATGAATCAAGAGGAAAAAAAAAATCATTAATGACAAAGGAAAATTCATAAATTCAGCATCTACTGTATGATAAATTGATTACCCACCTCAAAAAGAAGAACCCCAAGACTGTAGATATTAGATGATACTAGGCTTCTGTAGTTGAGTTCTTCAGGACAAGTGTACCACTTCTTTTCCAAGTGATTAATGTCAGACTCCAGTCCCTTGGCTTCACCATAAATATCTCTAACGACATACCCAGAAACGTAGTCAGGCTTCTCTCTCATCAAGTCCACGTGATCACTGACTTTCTGCTGCTTTGCACCCAAGTTGTTTTGAGCATGCATTTCCAGATTGGATGGCCTTTTCCCATTTGTATTCTGATTTATGACATACATGGAGTCTATTTGGATAGATGGACCGACATATTTAACACCATTTGGTGAAAGTAAAATGAAACAGGACGGCCGTAAATCCTGGAAGGCAATTCCTTGGGAGTGTGCAATATCGATTAACTTCACAATCTGCCGGAATATGTGAATCCTCTCAGCTTTCTTTATCCGTGATCCCATCGAGTTTATCCACTCTCTCAATGTAACTCCATTGTGAGTTGAAGTTGGTATTTCTCTTTCCTGATTGTTACAACTAACNTCTCAATGTAACTCCATTGTGAGTTGAAGTTGGTTTTTCTCTTTCCTGATTGTTACAACTAAGCGGTGCTTGATTAGAGTTAGCGCCTGGCTTAAACGATGCATCAGATGATACCATTCTTATGGAAGCTTTCTCATACTCATACTTATTCTGCGGAATCGAGGCGCTATGAACTTCTTTATGAAGTGCAGTGCCTTTTGGTGCATCAACATCTTTGCCTTTAAGAGATCGGTTAGCGAAAAACTTAGAAAAGCCAGATGTAGATAAAAGTTTTGATCCACTATTTCCTGGAAGTAATCTACTGCTAGGAATGGTTAGGTTATGGTCTTCTTTTGATTGGGAAGAGACTGCATTAGAGCCTACATTGATATCTTTATAGGATGCATGCTTCAGCTCTTTCAGCGCTAGCAAATTCTTGTCTGTGGAAGAAGGATCTACATTGCCCTTCGCAGTTCTAGAGCCACCCCCCAATTGATAGGAATGTTGCCACTGGATTTGTGGCTTGTGATTTTTTTCTCGATTATCAGAGAAATTTCTAAGAGTGACTGGTTCAGGAATATTGTAATTACTCCTAACTAACTCTTCAATGGTGAGCCTTGAACTACTCATCGAGTAAGAGCTTGTACTGGCGGGCTGAGGATCCTTCACGGACATTGCATATCTGTTTGTACCATCATCCTCCATCATCACCAAACTAGCAGAAGTTGATCCCTCCACCAACTCATGGCTGGTAGTTATGCCCTTTCCCATCGATGGTTCAATGGAAATATCGCATTCCCTCGTTTTAAGTAGCGCACTCGCAGCTACATCATTTGCCTCTACTTCCTCCTTTGACTGTTCCATACCAGTCCAAATGGACTCTTTCAATTAAATACCAGCTGCATTCGGCAACAATTAATTCGCGAGGGGCTGACTGAAATAAAAGAAGTACTTTACAGTTAATTGGGGCAACATTCCTATCAAGCAGAATTTTGAGGCACTGAGATTTGAAATAAGGTTCAAGGGCAAGGGATTAATTTATCTCTAAATATCTTTCAAGGGAAACAAAAATCAACAAGGACTCAATAACCTATATACAACAAGAACAACAACTACACCTAACGACCTAAGTTAATTGGGTTGGTTATATGATTACAACAAGTCAACACCAGTGTAATCTCACAAGTGGGGTTTGGGGAGGGTAGTGTGTACGCAGACCTTACCCCTACCGTGTGAAGGTAGTGAGCTTGTTTGATAGACCCTCGGCTTAAGAAACAGTGCACAAGAAGCAACCAACAATAACAACAAGAAGAAGAAAAACAAAGACACTAAGTGTAATAGCAAAGATCTAAAAATAAGAAATACAAGAACATTAATACTGGCTATATGATTCTTCACTATATTTCTGGCAATACCAAATTATGCAATAGTGAAAATTATCACATTGGAGAAAATAAACTCAAGAAGGTGAAAAACTCAACCAAGCAAAGAAAATTCAAGAAACACAAACTAAAATCCAGATACCCTAGCACATAAAGTTGAATCCTTTATACCAATATACAAGAAAATAGCAGCTAATACAAGTCATTAACATTAGTATGGCTATAGATCATCTCCTTGAGGTAAAATTGGACGTGTAAAGTTAAGTTATTTTTAAATAAAAAAATGTGCCCTTTATTAGAACAAACTAAAGCACAAAGTATGTCACATAAAATCAGACGGATAGACATAAATATCTCATTTATGGTAAAATTGAAAATTTAAAGTTAGATTATTTCTAAATATAAAAAGATATCATTTCTTTTAGATATTTAAAAAAAGTGTGCCATATAAAATGGGAAGAGGAAACAACCAGAATAAGCAACAAAATTCAGATTTTTACCAAATCTTGAAGCAAACCCACAGCTCAACTAGCAATTATAGAGGTATCAAAAGAGTTGCCTGAAATAGAAATGGTTGAAAAGGGGTACTTTTCCCAAGTATAGGATTCCGTTATCGTTCATCTGTTTTAGCTCTCGGTATCTCAAGATTCTAATACCACAACCAGAAATAATTATTTGTGCATTACTGTATATGATATCTAACCAGTATTAAAAAAAATTAAAATTTGATGGGTCACTTAACTTGGAATATTATTTTAGGAGAAAAGAAGAAGAGTCACAGGTAATTCTCTTATGGATTTTGTGAAATGATGATGATTGTTAATGGTAGAGCACTGTAAAAGGGAGAGGTCATAGTCATGGTCATGGGTCAACTATCTTTTTCTTGCAAGTTGGATAAAAGGAACCCCGGATATTTGCTCCTTTTTACTACTTCTCCGTCCCATCTTATAAGGTACTTGTCCTTTCACAAATTTTGAAAAAGGAAAATCAAAATTTATGCTCTAAAATAAGTATTACATATTTTTTATTATAAATTATCTCATAAAGGTAAAATAATAAATTTAATTTCATTATTTATAAATATAAAAAAGTATTCTTCTTACTGGCAAAAAGAAAGTATGCCACGTAAAAAAAGAATGATGAAGCATTGTTTCACTAAATTATGATCGTAATTACTGTAGCGTATTTACTTGAGTTATTTCATCAAATACTTAAAGTCCTAAGGGAGGTACTTTGGAGATGTTTAGAGGCCAAGGGTGTTTCTTCAGAGTACATTAGGGTGATAAACTAAGGATATGTATGATGGAGCTAAGATTTGGGTGAGGATAGTGCGAGAAGATTTGGATCATTTTCCGATTGTGATAGAGTTACATCAGGGATCTACGCTTAGCTTGTTTCTGTTTGTTTTGATGATGGACGCACTAACGCTCCACATTCAAGAAGAAGTGTCATGGTGTATGCTGTTTGTAGGTGACGTTGCATCGATTGACGAGACACGGGGTGGTATTAATGAGAAGTTAGAGGTTTGGAGGCAGACCCTTGAGTCTAAAGGTTTCAAGTTAAGCAGGACGAAGACAGAATACTTGGAGTGCAAGTTCAGCGACGTAACAGAAGAAACTGACATGGACGTGAGGTTTGATTCAGAAGTCATCTCCAAGAGAAAAAGTTACAAGTATCTTGGATCTGTTATCCAAGTGAATGGAGAGATTCACGAGGATGTCACACGTGAGGCTTTGAGATCGTTGTTACTATATTTCTAGCTCTACTTGTTGATATTACTTTTTGTACTATTTCTTTTCATCTTTCATGAGCCGAGAGTCTATTGGAAATAGCCTCTCTATCTTTCTAGTATATGAGTAAAGTTTTCGTACACACTACCTACCTCAGACATCACTTGTGAAATTCCACTAGATTATTGTTCTTGTACTTATTTCGTTACAATCACGGACTATTGTTAGGAAAAATATTGTTGAACATATTGTTATTTAAAACAGATAAATTAAGATTTTTTAGAAATATTTATATAAGCAATAGCAGCTCAATTATATAATACAAATAGTTTGAATTATTGGTACTGACTACTGAGAATGCAGTTGCATAAGTAGCTTTGGTGTTACGAGTTCAATCCAATCCGGTAACTTCTAGTATGAAACATAAATAAGTGTAGAAAATATATCGATGTTTAGTGCTCGGAAATCTACGAACTCGAACACATGTGCAGATGTACGACTACATATACCGACATTTGAATCGAATAATATATATAATAATCTAGTAATTTAGAAACAACCTTTTACATCAGTACAAAATTACATCAAATAATATGTCAGCCATGAAATCATCCAATGCAATCATATCTTGTGATTTGTTGACTAATAGTGACAATCGTCAAAAAATGGTGTTATTCTAAAGTCAGACGCAAAAAGGGCCGGTATGCGGCGGGCTGAATTTTACTTGTCAATGTGGGCTCGGCCCGGTAAATATAGGGAGAAATTCAAAAATAATCAGATTTACAACTGGTCGTTCAAAAATGACCCAATTTTAAAAGTAATAAAAATTTAGCCACTTTTTATGTAAAGATAAATCTGAGCAAAAATACTGTTCAAAATTCGAAAAATACGCCAGTATATTATACTGGAGTTCCAACATAAGTATGCTTGAACTCCAACATATTATACTGGAGTTCCAGGATAAGTATGCTGGAACTCCAGCATAATATGATAGAGTTCCAGCATAAGTACACTAGAACTCCAGCATAATATACTGGAGTTCCAGCAAGTATAATTGTCCAGTATAATATACTGGAGTCAGCAAAGTATACCGGTCCAACATAATATGTTGGAGTTCATATACAGGTGCACCGAACTCCAGTATATTATGCTGGACCGGTCTCTGTTGCAGCAAAATAATGGCTATTTTTCATTGACTTCGTAAACGCTGGCTATTTTTAAATAACCAGTTCGAAAACTGACTATACCGTGCTATTTTTACGTAAATATATGGGTTAAAGAGATTTTTACATTTCTATACACTATATGAAACTATATTATCCTCCATATTTAAGTTTTACTATAATTACATTTTATGTACCCAATTACCATTTATGTACATTTTAAGGGAATTAATAATAATAATTAGTGTCCTAAAATTACTCTAACATAGCTTCCACTCCCCCACGTTTCTCTCTCCACATCCCACTCCCTCCCCCACGTATCTTGCACCCACCCACGATTCCACCATTGACAACCATTAAAAAACTTTGAATCTTTGAATTCGAATTTGGATTTTCAAAAAATATTATTTGTTTGAATTGGATGTTGTTGCAAAGAATTGGGAATTCTCTCTATCTCTCAATCCCTAATTTCAGTAATGTAAAGCAAAGGAAAAGAGAGCAGCAATTCCAAAATTGACAGTCATTAAAAAGCTTTGAAGCTTTGAATTCGAATTTGGGTTTTCAAAAATCATTATTTGTTTGGATTGGGTATTGTTGCAAACAATTGGGAATATGGTTTGGAGTTTAAATCTCAATTTTGAGGGATTTTGGTGAAGATTAAACTTGATTTTGGCTAAATTTCATATTGAAACTCGAAGAAGAAGAAGAAGAAGAAGAAGAAGAAGAAGAAGAAGAAGAAGAAGAAAACATGATATACATTATATTTACGAAATTGTAGTAAAATTATAGAAAAATTATATTCTATTGTTTATATATATTTCTTTTATTTATTTAACAATTGTATGAAAGTTGAACAACATTGTATAAAAATTATATTTAAGTTGTATGATATTGTAGTTGTATATAACTGAGTAGAAATAATGTATGAAAATTGTAGATACGTTGTATAATATATAATTAGTTGTATGAAATTTATTTTTACTATGTATAAATCAGATACAAAATATACAAAAGACATATTGTATAAAATTTGTATTTAAGTTGTATGAAATTTATTTTTACTATGTATAAATCAGATACAAAATATACAAAAGACATATTGTATAAAATTTGTATTTAAGTTGTATGCTATTGTAGTTGTATTTAATTGGGTAGAAATAATGTGTGAAAATTGTAGATGAGTTGTAGATAAATTGTATAATATACAATTAATTATATGAAATTTATTTTTACTATTTATAAATCAGATACAAAATATACAAAAGATATATTGTATAAAATTTATATAAAAATTATATTTGTGTAATAAGGAATAGTTTCAAGAACAGAGAAGTGGCTAAATCTTTAGCCATTTTCATCTATTTTCTTAAAAAATCGAAACTTCTTTTTTTTTGTGAACTTTAAAAGGGCGTATTGGTACTGATTTTTGGCTTGTTTATTTATAGAAAAAATATGAACATGTGAACAGATTAATTTATATAGAGAGAGTGTGTGTGTAGCTCTGCCCCTGCACATCTCGAGTAAAGTATCTCTTGACACAGCATCAAGAGAAGCAGCTTATACCATTTGCTACCACATTGATAATTAATAGATGATATACACAAATATATCCTCAAACTGGAAATCATCAATTTCTAATGACGATGCACAATAAAGGAGAGCTGTTAGGTGGAGGGACATATGTGAGTGAAAATTTGATTAAAGTGATCGACATGAATAGAAGTGGGGCTAATATTGCTTACGATTATTTCAAGGAGAAGCTCATACATGGGGATAATAGCAGAGCTGCCGATGTTGATGCACTAAAGATTGGTGAATTTGACAGAGTTAGGAGATTATTCGAATATATAGAGGACAGAGATTTGTGGAGATGGAAACTTCCAGACAGTAAAGCATTCATCTCAAGTATTCGTATAGAGAAGTGACGATGCACAATAAAGGACAAAAAAACTGGATTATATAAAATTTGAATTAAAATGACGAGATCGGAGGGATTTAAATCCCTAAATATAAGTTCAATCTAGAGAGAAGAGGGGAGAGAGGAGAGAAAAAAGGAAAATGGTGTAACTAAATCTCTTGATTGAAGGCACAAATAATGGATTGGGAGCCTTTTAAGGTGGATTGCATATTTTTTGTAACTAAATGTGTTTAGGTCAGGTAAATACCAAGACATGGACATTTTTCGTAATAAGGTTTCAAATAGTGTATAAGAATGAAAAAATCCCTTAGATTTATCATAATCACGTGGGCTACTGCAGGTCCCATCTGCTTTTCCATGTGAAGCCCAAACCCTTCGCACCCCGCCGCCTAATAATTTGGTAACTTTCTTTTTTCTATATCACTTATTTATTGCAAAATTTTCACCAGGGTCTTATTTGGTCGCTTTAAATTAACTGGTGCTCACTTTTTAAACCAAAGGACAGATAACTTTGGACATATTTTCCTATTCCTCCTCCTTCTCTTGTTGTGAACACAAAGTGTATAGGTTAAAATCTGACTAAAAGAAATTCGAAATGAAGAGGTGACCAAGTGTGATAACTGTGGCTCTTCATGGGTGACTAAGTCGAGGTCAACAAGGGGTTGACAATACTGAGCTGTCGAGTAAGCCTTTATGGCCGAGGACGAGCAGTAGAAAAGGAAGTAACAACTAATATAGCTTTCGAACTTTCAATGCGAATATTCTATTAAATATTCCTTCTACTGTACTTTTTTAAGGTTTTTGGAAATATCCCACATAAATAGGAGAAGAAAGAAGGAAAATAGGGGGAAAGTTCATTCTGATAAGAACTCTTGTGGAAAGTAGACACTAGAGAGACAATACAAAATATTATCTTTCCACAAGGATTAGATTTGCTATTTATTCTACATTTTTCTCGCATCAGATCCGAGAAAACCTCATATATTCCAATATCCATCTGTCTTACATCATTGTCAGAGAGAAGAATCATCCACCCCATTCAACATTTGGGTGAATCATTCTCTCTATTTACACTT